CTTTCCCACTTTAGCTTTTTGTAGTGCATGATGTCTCCCATGTATCTACACTCAAGTAATACGTCCCAGACCCGAGTCATGTAGTTAATCACGAACTATTGAAGATCTAGCGGAATTTGAGCTACGAAGAAGTCTCGCTTTAGGTTATAGCCCAGAAAGTACAAAAACTTTGCAACAAGGAAATATCACTGGTCAAGGTATTATGACAACATCATTCAATTGAAGAAGCAACTTGGAAACACGATAATGAAATGCGAACCAAATATCCCCAATTATTTGACGAAGACCACTCAGGTAATTTTCGAGGAAGTTTTTTTTTAAAAATGGGTAGATCATAATAACTTGAAATTTCTCTACTTGTCATTAACCTAAGTATATGAATCAAGTTGCTTGATAACCATAGTTTAAGGACCAATTTATATAGAAACTAAGGCTCAGGGATAATTTTACACATCAAATATAATTTAGGGATCATATTGCACGTCGGTAAAAGTTTAGGGGCCAAGTTTCATATCCGTCCATAGTTTAGGGACAACTACCATAATTAAAAGAATCGATTATGGAAGCTTTCATTTTTATCAATTATGAAAACTTTCCTTTTTATTTAATTATACCTAAAACCAAAACGGTAATTAACATATATAATATACATGTATATGCTAACTACCATATTTAAAGGAATCAATTAAGGAAACTTTCCTTTTTATCAATTATGGAAACTTTCCTTGTATTTAATTATAGCTAAAACAAAAAAGGTAATTAACATATATAATATACATGTATATGCTAATTATCATAATTAAAAGATTAATTAAAAAAATTCCTTTTATGAAAATGGTAATATATATGTGTGTGTATATATATATATATGCCCCCACAAACACACAAGAACATTCTTTTTCAGAAAACACAATTCTCCTATATGCTTATACAATTATCAGATTTCATTGTTCAAAGTTACAGAAATCAATATTATGATTATGTTATGAAATCATGAAGTTTAGTAGCGCTACACACAAAATTAGAATGACAAAGTTCGATTCTTATAATTTCGTGTCTCA